GCCCCCTCCCAGAGCCAGCCCCCCATACTCCCTCCTGCACCCCAAGCCTGAGCCCTGAGCCCCCTCCCAGAGTCAGAACCCCACACCCACTCCTGCATCCCAAGCCCATGCCCCAGCCCTGAGCCCCCTCCCAGAGCTCGCACCCCATACCCCTGCCTGCACCCTGTACCCCCTCCCAGAGCCCGCACCCCATACCCCTGCCTGCACCCTGTACCCCCTCCTGGAGCCAGCACCCCATACTCCCTCCTGCACCCGAACACACTGCCCCAGTCTGGAGTCCCCTCCTGCACCCAAACTCCCTCCCAGAGCTTGTACCCCTCACCCTCTCCTGCACCCCAAGCCCCTGCCCCAGTCCTGAGCCCCCTCCCAGAACCAGCCCCCCATTCCCAGCCCTTCACCCCAAGCAATATTACTAATAACCATATCAACCAACAAAGAACTCAGAGTGTTCAACCATCTGTGTCGGGTTGATGTGGCTCTCAAATTGAAGGTTTTTTGCCAAAGTGGCCCCACTTCAGAAATAGTGAAGAGCACTGGTTTAAGATGTGGAAGCTCATTGACCTGCTTGAGTTCATTTCACACCATTCCAGCAGAGCATAGGCAGTAGATGCTTTACGTTACCACACCTCCTGCTTGCTGTTACAGCTGGTGAAATGATTTTGAATTTTTGAAAGTTAGAATTTTTTAATTTTGAAAGGGGACGGAGATTTGAAATCACTGTCATGTATTTTTCCCTGCGTTTCCATCCAGCTCTGGGTTTTGCCATACTAAGCCATCCTCTTACACAGACTAAGGGTACGTCTATTCTTACCTCCGGGTTCGGCGGTAAGCAATCGATCTTCTGGGATCGATTTATCGCGTCTTGTCTAGACGCGATAAATCGATCCCGGAAGTGCTCGCCGTCGACACCGGTACTCCTGCTCTGCGAGAGGAGTACGCGGAGTCGACGAGGGAGCCTGCCTGCCGCGTGTGGACCCGCGGTAAGTACCTTGTAGTTCGAACTAAGATACTTCGACTTCAGCTACGTTATTCACGTAGCTGAAGTTGCGTATCTTAGTTCGAACTGGGGGGTTAGTGTGGACCAGCCCTAAGAAAATGAATCCAAAATTTCCATGGACAATTTCAAAGATTGGGTCCCATGTGCCAAACTGCAGTCTGAATGCCTAGGGATAGTGTTTGCTTAATTTCACTAATACCAACCTCCTAACTATTTCATATTATGGTACTTTGCCAGCTGGGAAGAGAATGTCTTTGTATATGACCTGGTAAACAGCCGAGTGCCTGGAATACCCACCGATATCTGGATGGGACTTCATGACCTAAGAGAGGTGAGAAACCGCTACAACATTAGCTACCGCCTGCTTTTCCTCTTGACCATCATACAAGCAGGTTTTCTCATAAAAAGAACTGGAAATCTATTCAGCGAGCGCATTGAGATGTAACCCTTGGCCAGTTTCATCAGACTCACATAAAAGGCAAAATTATATTTTCTGTTTTCCCTCTACACCTTTCAATTTTTTCCCTCTGACTATAATACAAAGTGCTGGACTGACAGCCCTGGAGAGCAAGATTTTCTGCTTATCCACATTGCCCTTCCAATGCTTCAGCTGTGACCTATGAACATTAGAGGATAATTAAATCTCCACAACTACTGAGGTAGCCAATAAAAGTTTAAAAGGGAGGGGGGGAACAATTTCATGATAAATGTTGAAATTTCAAAGTTGTTTCCATGTGACATGGTTTGAAACAGAACAATTTGCATGTGTGTGAATTTTCTGCAAAATATTTTCCTCCTTTCTCCACTCTTTTTGGGGAGGGGGGTGTACAGGTAGGGGACAAGGACAGTGAGTACTGGGAGTCCAGCACCCCCTGGCTTGAAGTAATAGCAACTGAATGCATGGCTTCCATCCTACTCAGAGTTTGCGGTTTGGTTCAATGGCTTTCAGCATCCACGTTGAGTGCAATACAATAAATGATGTCTAGCCCCCCCCCCCACTTTTTCATTTTTCTTTGTCTTACTCTGTAACTTTTGAAATCTTCTTTTCAAAAATTACACAGTAACAAAAGGAAACCCAATGAAGTGGAGCCTGGGCACTCATACCTGCCGAGGGGGAGGCTCTCGAAGCTCGGGCTCCAGTCCAAGGGGGAATATCTACATTGCTATTTTTAGCCCCACAGCCCAAGCCCCATGAGGACGAATCAACTGAGACTCGACGCTGCATGTTTTTCTTTGCAGTGTAGTCGTACTCTATGATCTCAAACGATATGCTAGCAGAGTGCAAAACTCAATAGAAGAAGGGCCTTTGTTCAGCATGAACCTAGTTTTTGCCATATAGACATAGGAATGAGGTCAGATTGATGACGGCACTCTCTACAGGGGAGAAGAGAATATTCTGTTGGCCAGTCCTGAAGTCCACACTTCCAAAGAGGTTCAGTTGAAATCACGGCACTTCTCCATTCTCCCCCCCTAATTTCCGGATGATGTTTAATAGGAAGGCCACTTTGAATGGACAGATGGTTCTTCCTATGACTATAACTACTGGGATGGCAACCAGCCAGATGATGGGATCCACTCTATTCCAGAGGAGGAGGACTGTGTACAGATCTGGTACAGATATAACAGTGGTAGGTATTTCACTGTTGAGCCTCAGGCTGTACACCACGCTTTCCAGGAAGCACGTGTAAATAAACTCAGGGAAATGCAGGCTCACTCTTTTCTATGCATAACAAAAAGATGCTGGCAGCGTGAGTATCTTAACATATTGTTTTTGCAGAGGAGGAAATTTGGCCCCTGACCCAAGAAGCAAGGAGGTAAAGAACTCTCAATCAAAGGCAGTATAAAGACACCAGCTTGCCTGCTTCCCCGTCAACTGAAGCCAGGTCCACACTACCTATATCGGTATAACTACATCGCTCAGGGGAGTGAAAAATCCACACCCCTGAGCGATGTAGTTATGCTACCTAAACCCCCATGAAGACAGCACTATGTTGGCAGGAAAGCTTCTCCCTTCAACATAGCTACCGCCTCTTGGGGAGATGGATTAACTACGCTGACCGGAGAAGCGTTGCTGTAGCGCTGTACGTGAAGACAAAGTCCTGAGACATTTCCAGACCAAGGAAATAATGAGAGGAATATATTATTGGAAAGAGACACCAGCAGGGATGCAGTCACTAGCGGGAGGAGGGAACAATAGGATTGAGGAAAGGGTAGACTAGGACAAGGAGCATTACAAATAAGTCTTTTTCTCTTGTCATATGGGAATCTGCACGGGAATAAGCACAACATACATGCATGAATAATTGTATCCAGGGCTGGGTCTGGTAAGACTGTAATAGTCTCTATATCTAGCCAGCATGGTCTTATGTCTATGCAAAAGTATATTGTCAGAATTGTGTCTGTATTACAGAATCTTTTCACAAGACTTTTCTTCAGAGCTAAGGTTTGGGGGTGAAACAAACTCCTTTGTGTAGGAAATTTGGTGTTTCTGTATACATTGTATGTCATTTCTTCATGGAGGCACTTAGAGTTGAATTTTGTCCTTCATCATGTGATCACACCTTCATTTAAAACCTTAACTAACTCCTTATTCTTACTCCCCTATAGCTTTACGCTCATGGAATGACAACAGCTGCAACAGAGAATTCCCATTTGTCTGCAAGATTCCATCCCTGGCAATTGATTAGCTCGCTCCCACAATAACAAACAGCAGCAGTCAACCTACTAAACTACTGGAATAAAGTCAGTCTGACCAAAGGCATATTTTATATCAGAGACAATTTTAGTGGCTCAAATAACTAGTTATATGTCTGATGCCAGCTACTCCACCTAGAAAATACCTTACCTGTCTCTTGCTTTTGTCCATGCTATGGCTGACCAAAGAGCATTGGTGAACAGTCAAGCCAGTACATTTATCGTGGGCTAGGAACAATTTCAGTGTTGCATCTCCATCCAGACCTCTGTGACTGAAAAATGATTTCTTAACCTATACGTATAATTAAACAGGTGAAACAATTCAAGACAGTGAGAAAGTCTGATTCTATGGTCCTCATTCCCATAAAATCCTACGGCCCTCAGTGGGAGTTTTGTGTGACAAAGGACTGCCTAACTGGTCCTTGGATTTGGAAATCTCTCTAGCATTCTGAGGAGCAAGACAATAACCCTTTTGCAGTGACAAACTAGAGTTCATTACTACAGAAGACACATTCTGCATCATTTCTGAACTTTGATGTCAGAATGAAGTAAAACTAAAAGCCTGAATCAGATCTCACTTATACTGGATGATTTCAATTGAATTACTATTCATAACTTATATCAGTGTGAGCTCAGAATAAGATGCTAACACATCTATACCGTTATTGTACAAATAAAGCAGCTTCGGCCAAATATTGAAGTCCATGCTCAGGTCATATTCACTCTTTACTCAGACCAAATGTGATGGGAGTTATACCTGAGTAAAAGCTGAGTAAGGACCTCTAGATTTGAGCCCATATTTAGATTTTAAATATATCAACCTGTCACATAACAAGAAATGAATTATTTTACTACAAACACTCAGACTGTAATCATAAAGTAACAGGGGACTGTACTAAATAATTTAGCCTGTGGGAATTAGGAGGGACTGTCATTTTCTGCTAAGTTATGCAAAATACCATGTGTTGCTAAAGTTGCTTTCTCACAACTAAAATCCATTGTGAACAGCATACTGAAGTTCCTTCTTCTTTCTAACACTGCTGAAATATACATGTTCATTAGCTTATACAGGTTGTTTTACACTGGTGCAAATCCAAACCAGCTTTTATACTCAGTTTTGGCAATTGACTGTTGAAGAAATCAAAAGGGGGGGAAAAAGCTTTCATGCAGTATACAAAGCAGTAACTTTTTATATTGGAACAAATATTTCCATTAACACCATTCCTTCAGGATTACAGGTTTTTTTGTTTTTTGTTTCTCTCTCTCTCTCTCTCATGTGTGCAAAAAAGGGGACAAAATTGTTACATGTCAGAATAAACAAGGTGCCTACATGAGATATACAAAGCACATCTCTGTAATTGGTAACTGCTGTTTTACTATAAAAAGCAAGATTATTATTTTATTATTATATTGGACTGGGGATTGCAAAAATAATTGCAGTGGGAAATATTTTTCTTTTTAAATTGAGAGTTTTTAAAAGAAATTATTATTAACAAATACAAAACCAACTGGACTAAAACCATGTGCAGCTGGGTACGCTTCTGTTACTTTTTTATAATTTGGTAGCTCCTTTCAGATGTGGATAATGAATTAATATCAATCACATCCTCTGTCTCCACTTCTTTCCTCTGTGGAATAAGAGGGCTCCTAGAATGAAGGGGTGCAAGAGCAGATTTACAGATTTGGGGCCAGATCCTCAGCTGGTATAAATTGGCATAGTTCCATTAAAGTCAATGGTACTACACTAGTTTACATAGGTAGATGGAGATTGTTTCTGCTCACTGCTGTTCTTGATATCAGATGTTTGCACCTCAGTGATGGGTGGTGCGAGACTGGTATATCTACAGCTTACTGTTGGTCCAGTTTGCTCTGTTTGGATAACAGGAGAAGACACTGCTGAAAGGAGGAGGCAGGAAGTATCAGTTTTTATTTATACTAGTCGTGGTGCAAACTTCCGTGAGCATGATAGGACAACGGGGTGAACTAAAACCCCTCCCCAACAAACTCTGGGGAAACAAGGCTCTGGATCTGAGTTTTGCAGTTCAGCCCTAGCTGTAGCAGATTCATATGCCAAGGATGTGCTTTACAAAGGAAGGTAGGGATCTGCTATGTAGGTCAATCCAAGCAACGTCCTTGGGATTTCGGGCACCTTTTCATCCTCAGCTGACAGTTCACCTCTGTGTTCTGCGGCCTTTGTTCTCAAAGCTGCACTCACAAGAGGGACATTTCTAACATCAGATGCTCCTGCTGAGGAGGAACAGATTAATCCTTTGGGAGGTCCTGACCCTGCTGTTCTTCTCCTACTGGCTTCATTACAGGAGAAGAAGAGTTATCACTATGATTCTACTTTTATTTTTTACCGCTATAGCACCTTGAGGCCCTAAAATCAGGGCCATGTTGTGCCAGGTGCTATGCTACACTCCTTGCCTCAAAAAGTTTACAATGTAAATAGACATGACAGAAAAGATCCACCATTTTACAGAAGGGAAACTGAGGCACAAAGAGACATAGTGACTCATCCAAGGTCACACAGGAAGGCTGGGGCACAGCAAGGAATTGAATCCAGGTCTCTGGAGTCATGCCGTAACCACAGGATCATCCTTCCAGCACCATAAGGTGGACTTGCCTTGAGTGCAGGGGACTGGACTAGATGACCTCTCAAGGTCCCTGCCAGTCCTACACTTCTGTGACTTTAAGTAGTTTTCAGGGCATTTTATGTTTGTGAGTGTGTGTGCGCGCGCACGTGCGATAGAGAGACGCAGAGAGAACTGCGTGTGTTCCAGAACTGGTCCAACTAGCATTGCAAGGTCTTGCTTGAGATGGCTGCCCCCACACAGTCCCAGGGTTTCATTCTTTTGCCTTTTGTCTCACATAAAGCCTGTTTGATTCACAGCAGGTATCCTCTCATCCTATTGGGTTTTTACACTGCCACTGTCCTACATACTATCTGTCATTCTGACCATCAGGTGAAAACAAATCATTGACTGTAAAATACTCAGCCTCTATTGTGCCTCTGAACTTTCGTGTCTTGAACTGGTGTCATTTGGCACCTTACTGTGAGTGCCTGTTAAATTTAAAAGGCAGCAGGGAATCATTACAATGATGTATTAAGTAGGGTCAATGGACAGCTGAGTTGTGGGGTGATAGATGTGTTAGCTGGAGCCAATACCACCAGACACAGGGAGCCAATTATATTTTTATCCAAAGGAGGAATCATCTCAGTAGCAGATTTCTTCTGGGAGGCCCCATTTTTCTGGGACGTCCCTTGTTTTTTTACCTTTACAAGATGTGTCATCTGTATGCAAAATCTGAGGTCATATTGTCTTTGAAACAGATAAATGAAACCTCTCCCCATCTCCTACCATGTATCAGCTACCCAAAGTCTCGTGATAGTCATTATTTGTCTAGAACTGAACGAGTATCAATGATCTTCTCATCCAGCTAAGGCTTCAGTAGCTCCCTTTGCACAGGATTGTACAGCAACCACCGGGTTCCTGCAAGGTGCGGAGCTCTCTGGCCTCCATCCAACAATCATGTAAGCAACTTCTTAACTTTAAGCAGCTGTAGTATGTGAGCACTTCACACACTGCTTCTCCTTCCTTCTTCCAGTCAAAGGGAATCGTTCTGCTAGAGTGTATGGTTAGTAAAAGAAAGCTGCCAGCGGTCCAGGGTTTAGTATGGTTGCTTGGGACTTAGGAGACTCTGCATCCTGTTCCCTGTTCTGCCACAGGTATCCTGTGTCACCCTGGGCAAGTCACTTAAGTCTCCCTCTACTCTGTAAAACTGGGATAACGGGGTGTTGTGAGGATGAATACACACAAGACAGTGAGGTGCTCGGATACTATGTTGATAGAGGCCATGGAAAAGAGAAGTGTGATTTACCTTTCATTCTGCAGGTGGTGAAGTCTATGGCCATTCTGTGCAACTTTGTAGCTTCTGGTGCTTTGGGATGTATTTCTTTTCAATGCTCAGTGTTATGCTATCGCTCTAGATGCACTGATTAAAAGAAACAAATCATTCTATCCAGGGGACAAATTACAAAACCAGCCAGATAGAAAGAATCACTAATGGTCAATACCTTGTGGAAGGAAACGTGATTCAGTACTTCGGGCTGAGGACTAGCTTCATGACTAAGGGCTGGACTGTGATTCCGTCCCTCATGCTAAGGTGTACAAAAGCTGGTCAGGAATTTTCTGCTTCCCCCCATGAAAATATTAGATGAAAACAAATTGGTTTTGTCAAAAATTTTCTTTGAAAAAAAACCAAAGCCCTAAAAAATGAAAAATTTTGTTTAAAACTGACAAGTGTTCATTTTTTTTGGACAAAAACTGAAAAAGCCAGTTTTTAATTTCAAATTTCTTCCCCTGAAGCCAGCGAAGCTATTTGTGGAGTACAGTGCTACTCATTATGAGCAAAGGGGTCACAATCTGGCCTTAATGGAGAAAACCATGGAACATTTCAGTCAGATAGGTACAAACTGGCACACTGATTAGAGTGACTATATCTCAACTTCAAAATAAGGCCAGGAAAATAAATGTAACCACTGGAGCGGGATAAAGAGAGCCAAGGAAAAGAAAGGTGGCAAAGTAACTAAGCTCCATAATATCCAATCTATTCTCAGCACAAGATCTAGTGCTGTGGTTCATGCGTGCACTTCAATGTGGTTCATATGTACACTTATCAATAGCTGTGATGTTTCTCTAATTTTCATCATAGAGAAGTTTGCCTTTGTCTTGAGGAAGCAGGGGGAAGGGAGTTAGGATATGTGGTTTATATTTTCATTGATGCCACCACCTCACTTACTAACCCTGGGCAAGCCACTTTCTGTGCTCCAGTGTACTCATCTGCAAAATGGGTCTGATACCTCATGGGGTGCTGCAGGGCTTAATTAACTGATATTTGTAAAGTACATGACCCTCCACAGCTCAGATGTTCAAAGTAGTGTGGCATTATATTTTTAATTTAGGGTAAACTCAACCAAATCAGTTCTGTCTCTTAAAATTGAAATAGGTAATCAATAACATGTAGCTGACTCTCTCTCTCTCTCTCTCTCACACACACACACACACACACTCTCTCTCTCTCTCTCTCTCTCTATTTCTGGCTGCAGTGCAGCAGCGGTCTGCAAACTACTAGGAAGCAACTCCTGATGTTCAGAAAAATGGTTGAGTGTCAAGCCACTGAGGTTAACTTTCTCCCAGAAATTTTTTT